GGGAAGATTTATGCTTCCGCATGGGAGAGGAGACAGAGAGAGAGGGAGAGGGGGAGAGAGAGAGAGAGAGAGAGAGAGAGAGAGAGAGAGAGAGAGAGAGAGAGAGAGAGAGAGAGACAGACAGAGAGAGAGAGACAGACAGAGACAGAGACAGAGACAGAGACAGAGACAGAAAGTGTTGCACTCTCAAAACTTCATACATTTATGTGTTCATTCTCATTCTGATGGAAAGTTCGCTTCTTCAATTGCGTATGTTCCCGCTGTCGTGGCGTAGGCGGGGCATGTTTACTTGTTAATGGCTAATTCTTTTAAACCACCAGTACTTGGCCCAGTTATCGGCCGTGGAAAAAAAAAAGTATAAATGTTTCTAGTTAGATGAATTTGGGCGCACCTGTAGTAGCCCGTACGTTTCCTAAAATTGTGGCGCGTTAACGGGAACGACTCGAGGAAGTACTGGTACCACCAGTACTTGGCTCAGCTATCGGCCACGGAAAAAAAAAGTAGAAACATTTCTTGCCGGATGAATTTTGGTGGTCATGTAGTAGCCCGTACGTTTCGTAAAATCGTGGCGCGTTAACGGGCACGACTCAAGAACGTACTAGTGGTTTAAGCCCAAGTTGTTGCCCAATCAATTCAATTACCTGTCGCATTTGGACAGGACGGCCTTTCAGGCTTTTTTTATTGTAATTATAGTATTACAGGGAACCCCGTAGCAGCCACATACAATGAGGGAAGATCCGGGAGCTGCACCCACCAACAGGTCTGATGCCTGCTACAGTAGGTGGGCGATATCGGTCAGGGGTGAGCTGGCAGCATCAGGACCAGTTGGTGTGCCTCCCTTCCGGTCCCCTCCCCCTATGAACATCAACAGTCTCTGATCAATGTCACTCGGGGGGACCGATTTTGGCTGACTGGGAGTGTCAAGTTTAACGGAAAGGATCTTGTATGGTGTGATATTATGTCATATGGGTTGGAAAGTCAGTCGTGCCTTAGGACATCAATGGAGGAAACCATGTTTGTGAGAGAGCTGGAACCGCAGGTCGAGCCTGACACTCCATTGGATGAAGAGACACTCGGAGGCGACTTCGAAATTCCTACCGAATTTCAAAATCCAATGTTATTGGAAAAGGCACGAGAAGTGTCTCAGGATGCGCATATTATATGCGTAACTGCAGGGAGGAACGTCACTCTTGAGGGTCCCGCGGGAAAAAAACAATCCAAGTATCTGACATCGAAGAGGATGAAGGACATAGTGTACTGACTACGCCAGAGCAACATACACCTGTGAAGGAAGCTGAAGAGAATATACTTCAAACTCCTATACAATAGTTAAGTCCACTTGTTCAAGGTGTAATAACCATAGAAGAATCCCCTATCACATCAAGGCAGTTGGGAAGTGTGAAAGAAGATCGTGTTGAAGAGAAACTATAAGTAAGTCGCCGAGGTGAGCACTTACCTTGCCCAGGGAACATGTGTGTAATATTGTGTGCAACACATGATCTCATCTTTTCTTTTTTGGGGGTTTGAAACGATGTTGAAACGGTTCCATGTTTATTAGCATTTATATAGCGTGCGTTTGTGGTGTGTCTGAATCCGTAACATGAAGAAGAAGATTGGTGATACTTTCTTGTTATTAATGTTTATTCACATTCATGTTGTTAAAGCGAATTTTTAATAGTATGAAACTGAACGTCACTCATATTATTTGTCACTATCGGTCATGATTGTGGTCTCTACGTTGATGAACGTGCAGGTTGAACGTCACTCATATTACTTGTCACTTTCGATCATGATTGTGGTCTCTACGTTGATGAACGTGCAGGCCTGCGTAAAGGACTGTGGAAAGTGTCTAGCATGCACTTGCAAAGGAACAGTGACAAAAATATTATATATCGTGGTTTGCAAGTCTTGTCAACGCTGCCATTGTTGCCGAAAAATGTTAGAAGATGCACCGAACACGTGACGATCCCGTTTGTGAAGCCAGCTGCCCTAAGGATGTTTAAAGTTATGGGAATAGACATCAAACAAGGGAAGAAATTGCACTATAAAGGTTGCAAGTTGTCTATTGTGGAAAATAGCAGCGACAACGAAGTAGGCAAGCAAGCACCGTCATGAACTCATGTCCACTT